ATATATATATATATATATATATATATATATGACACTGACCTTACAATTAAAATGTGCAGAATAAAACTTCTTACTTTAAACATTTAAAATGTTACCTTAAATGTTTGCATGTTTTTTTATTATTATTTTATTATTAATATTACAATGTACTTTTCACTCCTTTTTGAAGAGCTTCTTAACCTTCTCACAACATTGTAATATATTCTTGTCTACATGTTATTAGATGTATAACATGTCTACATGTTATTAGATGTATAACATGTCTACATGTTATGTTTTTTTTAATCCACAGTAATTATGTGTGTATATGACTACTGTTTCTGTATTTTTTTTAGGAGCGGAAAGCCACTGCCAAAACACCTTCCACCAAAACACGACCGGCGCGAAGAGGAAAATGAGCAGAGAGAAAAATAAACTAAAGCAAAACAAGGAAAAAGAAAAGTTGAAGGACTAACAAAATCATCCTCAATCTGTGATCAAGAATCATCACAAAGCAAAAGTAGATAAGAAAAAAAATGAGGAGTTCAAGTTGTAGTTTTTTAATATTTGTAAAGAAAAATATCAACTAAACTAAGGCATGAAGATCCATTTTTATACGAAAAAATACCTAAAAGTTGGTCAAACAACGAAGAAAAAAAAAGCAACAAAGTGCTTCCTGTGAACTGTAATCGCATGATGACTGCTGGTGCATGCCCTTTGACCTTTTGAACTGTCATTATCTACAAACTGAAGGGGTATAAGGTACAAAGATGGACCTTCTTCTCCCATCAGAAGTGGTTTGTGTCAGTAAGAGTCATTGCAGCCAAAAAAAAAAAAAAGAAAGTCCCTCAAAGGATGGTTGTGTTTGCAGCAAAGCCTCTGCTGAGCCTAAAAAAAACGTTTCTTTCCCCGAATCCTTACCCCTAATATCCTAATGTGATATATGCACTCTATGCTACGTGGATGTGTGTCGGTGTGTGTGCGTGTAAATTTGCTCTACCGCATGAATTTATTATTTCTGGGTTGGCGATGAGCCTTGTCCCACGATTGGCTTGTTGCCTCTGTGATGTCACGGCGCTCTGCGGTGCGAAACGCCGCTGCTCTTCCGTCGCTTGTGAGTTCTTGTCTGCGTGTATCAGAGGTTGTTTTTTTAATTAATTTATTTAGGAAATATTGCTTCCACAATGGTTCTCTTGCGTTGTTTGACTTCGGTAGGGAACCGAGCCGCTGTCAGCCTCGTGTTTTCAGGAGAAATGTGTTTTCAAGACAGCAGAATGTTTTCTTTGGAAAAGGTTTGGTAGCTTCACTACACTGCACAGCAGCTTTACAACACAAATCTTGTTTTTATTTTTGTTCCTTAAATCTTTATATTGCTGTTTTTAGTAGCATATCTCATCTTTATCAGTAGCTCTGGTGCATATGCAGTAAAAATCACATGCCCCTACTGTCACTTTCTGTGCTGCAGCACCTCACTGGCTTGGTGTTTAGGTGGTTTGTTTAACACAAAAGCAACAAATCCAAGGAAAAGAATTACCGTATTTTTTGGACTATAAGGCGCACCAGTCAAACGTTTTTCAACTCGTTCACAATTATCAATTATCAAATTGATTCGAGGTCAGTAAGCACAACCAGAGTTAATACGTAAGGCGCACCTGGTTATAAGACTCACTGTCGATTTTTTGAGAAAACTAAAGGATTTTAAGTGCGCCACATAGTCCGAAAAACACGGTATTTGAAGATTGTCCGGCTCGTGTCAAATTGCA